GCGCATTGGCAAAGCACCTCACACTTGGATTGCCAACGACCATTGTGAGATTCTGCAAAATGCAGTCCGTAGATGTGGCATAGTTTTGCATGCCAGTAGCCTTTTGTGTGGCGCTGTCGTGCTCTGATGTATCTACTATTTGTAAGCTGTGAGCTTCAAAATTGGAAAGATTGTGCTCATGACCACCGTGAAATGACTGTTCCCCGTCATAGGTAGTAAAGAGCTCCCCTGAGGTGTCTGTGTCAGCCATATCATGTGCAATGTCCCCTGCACACATTGAAGCTGAAATCCCAAGATGCATCTGTGAGCCTGAGGCAGCACGGCAAACCCATTGTGGTGATTGAGAGCCTACCATTGGCTGAAGTGCATCTTCAAAGGTTGTGATCTCTTCAAAAGCGTGCCCTTTGTTTGGACTTTCAAGTCCTTCGCATGACATGATGTCATCGTCCGGAACTGGGAAAGTCCACCCCTGAAACATCAGACTGTGCGCGTTACCCACAATGTCCTGGAGCCACATGCTGTGTTGCCTCAGTTTTCCTGCGCTTCATCGAATCTTCTTGATCCTGATTGGGCCGTTTCAAGAGGCCGTGGAGCTGAGACTTCTGCTCCTCAGTCAAAGAGATGCCCAAGCTATGGACAAAGGATTCAACCGCCATAGGAATTTGCTCTGCCTCTCCTGAAGCGGAGGGCAACTCTGATTGACAGCTTTCATGTACTCTTCTGACAAACTCTTGAGGGCTTGTTGTCCTTCTGTGAGTTTGGTTTGAAGGTCCTGCATATCCGTGAGGAGAGCTGCATACTGGGACTTGACCTGATCGATCTTGCCTTGAAGTTGAGTTTTCTTCATTGAAAGATTCTTCAACTCCGTCACTCTGCTTTTTAGCTTTGCAGCTATCTCTCGCTCAGTGCATGGCTCTGGTGTGGTCAGTTTAGTGACCAGTTCTTGTACTGGTTGTGGGAGAGCCTCCATGTGGGATTTCAACACATCTTTGAGCTCTGGTGTTTCAGAGCTTGGTTGGCCCTATGCCAATGGCCTGGAGCTTGGTCTGTGTTTCTTCTGTCAACGTCGTCCATGCCGTAGAAAGAAGGTCTGAAGCCTCTTGCTGGACTTTGGAGATCTTCATAGGTCGGACTTTCGAGGGCCCTGGTGGAGACTCAAGCCATGTCTGAGGTCCTCGATTGGTTTTGTTGGGTGGCTTGCCATAGCCTTTGCCCTTGCCCGCGCTGGTCGAAGCAGAGGTCCACATAGTACCACAGCGTCGGCATCGAGTGCCAGGATACATCTTATCCTGCCAAATCCAGTTCGTACAGGTGGACTTGCTGCAAGGCGTATAGGCTCTGCACCAGGACATGATCACTTCACCGAACACGAACAGGCCTTTGACCTCCTCAATGAAGTAGGGATAGCGGGCAAAGTGCTAGTTGAAAAACTCCCCAAGGCCGAAGGAGTGGGAAGACGAAGATCAGGTGGATCTCGTAGGTGGTCCAGGCGAGCACTGCCGGGTGCCGTAGGGCTCAGCAGTGGCGAGGAAGGTGAGGTTCAAGATAACTAGCAAAGAGTGTGCTGTAGTTGAACTTGTACCTGGGCCTTCCCGGTTCAGGTAGTCGAGGCGATGCTCGCTTGGGGCTTCACGCACTAGGTGGTCTTTGTTGGCTGCCACCTTGAGCAGCTTATGGCCTTGAGCCGGCCATGTATGTATGTATGTATGTATGTATGTATTTTTTCTTCTGAAGTGTTTGTGCTCTGGACCTTGTTGGTCGTTCTGCTAAAGCAGGTTGCTCGCTTGGCTCAAAAGTAGTCGACGGTGAAGTCGTCCATTTGGGGCTCTCCTTCAGGACTAGGCTGACTGGCATTCTCAGCACAGATGGGTGCTGCCGGAGGTGTGGTGGCTGGAGCTTGCCCTGAACTGTTGTTGAGTGCCGATGCTGCCACGAGGCTGGGGTTCATGGCCAAAGCAGCATTGTCTGCCTCAGAGCCCTGCTCCTGGAGGTCCATGTCAGTTGGGAAATGCAATCTCCTGGGTTTTGCTTCTGCGCCGGACTGTGTTGCCTGCCGGTGGTCAAGTTTTGATTGCTTGACCGTCTCTGGCTTGGCCTGAGCTTCCTGTTGTGCCACTTGACTGGTGTCACTCGGTGAAGCCGGTGAGCTATGTTGGGATGCTTGCTCCAGCTGTTTCCTGAAGATCTCCGTCAGCGGGGTGGAGCTGTTGCTGCCGGAGCCTTTGCAGGGCTTTTTGACAGCTGCTGTGAGGATGAGTCGCTGCTGCCGATCAAGATGTAGGGTGATGCCACATTGTGTGCATGTGACTTTACTGCCCTTTTGCCATAATGCATGACTGGTGTGGCCTGCATGGTCGGCGGTGTAGGGCTGATCATGGCATTGTCCTTGAACGAAGGCTTGAAAGACTTGTTCGTTGCTTCTCTTGTGGACGTTGGTGCCACACCTCACACAGCGTAGATATCCAGCAGTTTCTTCAAGCTCATGTTGCTGTGGTGGTGGCTTCTCCTCTTGCTGTTGGATGACTTGAGTTCTGGTCATCTTCTTTGGCATGGGCTGGTGTGGCAGTTCTGGTGCCGGGAGTTGGTCCTCAATGCTGAGTTGAGGGCATTCTTCATTGAGGCGCTCCTCAATGACCTGGACCGTCAGGGCCTGGTGTACTCGTACCCCACAAGCTCCACATTGATGACCACTTCTATGCGGTGCCCAGCGGTGGGAGGGAGCTGTCCAGGGTTTGCTACACTTGGCAATGAGCTGCTTCTTGTATTGCTTTGTTTGTTTGCCCTGGTGCCTGCGCGGCTTTTGGTGGATGTAGTGCTCTTTATCACTGTAGATTTTGGCCAGTCGGCTGATGGCGTGGGTATAGATGAGCTGATGATCTTCATCTAGGACCCTTTGCCATTCGATGCTCTTGTGGTTCTGGTATTGTTTGGCCCGCTCCCATGCTGCCAGTGCCGCATCACGCTGCCGACGGACACTGCCTGGGGCCTCTGGGGACCTGGTGTTGCGGGACACATACAGGACAGTGACCCGTTGGTAATCTTGCTCTGTGAGGTGCTCCAGTTGGTCCTGAAATGGTCCGCGGTGGCGGGGCTGTGTCCAGGCCTCCCAAACACTGACCAACTGTACTATGACCCTCACCGCTGTGGTGGTGTGCTTCGCCAAGGCAACCAAGCCTTCCATGAGTGCTCTGGCTTTGTTGTGCGGCGGTGGTGGTGCTCCTGTGCTGGCCCCGAGTCTCTCCAATTGTCCCAGAGTCAAATGGTGCTCGCAGAGCCCAAAGATCCAAAGCTGATCTCCCGGGTCATAGCTCGAGGGTGTGGCATCTAAAGTGAAGGCCCACCCTTGATACTGATGCGGTGCAAGTGGTTGTAGATCTTGCCATGCTCCATGTCCTTGGTAGGGTTGCGGGTCGTTTTTGTTCTCCTGAGGCTCAAGTGGGATCCATCCGGCTGTCCAGAGAGGTGTTTCATCGTCACACAGGATCCTCTCAGCCCATTCTGGAGGCATTGGCTTGTGCTGCTGAGTGTGGTGCCACTTGCACAGCCATATAATGTGTTTTGTGGTGGCAGGGACTTTGCAAATAGGACAGAGCTTGGGTTTGCCATCTTCCTTGAAATGGATGGCTGCCTGTGTCCACGTCCTCAAGTGTGGTCTGTGCTCACCTGGTATGGTGCGGATCACCTTTCTGTATGTGTGCCAGTCGAGGCCAGCCACAAGATGTTGGTGGTGCTCTTTGCTTGCTAGCCGTGCTGTGCGTTGTGCTTTGGCCTCGTGAAGCAAGGTGCGTTCGAGTTTCCACCAAGGATCATGCAGAGTGATCTCAGCTTCAACCAGGTAGGGTCCACTGGGTCTATGCCACCAATGTCATGTACTTGCCATTGCCATTCTGTCATGTATGCAATTGCTGCAGCCATTGGACCCTTAACCACATACCACGGATGTTGTTTCTGGCTGAGTTGCTGGGAGATCTCAGTCCACGCCTGCTCAAGGTGTTGGATCTGTTCTGTGGGCCAGTTGTGAAAAAGGGTGTGGATGGCCTTGATGTGGTGTCACGATCGGTGGCAATGAAGGCGGCCTTCTTGGGATTGACTTTCAGTCCCAAACTGGTGAGCCTTTGATGAAGGTCCCGATAGGCCTCAACTGCTTGGCTGGCCACCTGCAAGGCTGTCGTTCCCGTGAGATCGAAGCCCACATCGTCGACCCAGCAGGACAGATTAGCCTTGGGGTGCCGCCTTGGCGAGGAGAGGTGCTTGTGGACATCCAGCAGGGACTCCATGATCGACATGGAAGAAAGGAGTCATTTCCTGCTCCGCCAGGATGGCCTTGGGACCACAGTACAGCTGCATGGCCAATTCCAGCAGAAGTGGTGGGTAGTCCAACTTAAGCGCTTCTTCCTGCAAGCTGGCAAGATGGATGGTGTCGTAAAAGGTGGACATATCCATCAGCACGAAATACCGTGATGCTTCCTTGCTTTGGTGACTTCTTGACGCAGGAGGCGCTCCAGTGCTACATGCAGTACGTTGGCACCTGGTCGAGCTTTGTCATGGTTCATGCTTTGTGGGAGCTGCTGCTGCCATCGGTCCAGAAGGGGCTTCCTGAGCCGGCACCAAACTCTCCACATTGTGGAAGTGAGCGTGATGGGTCTCTCCAGCCTCTGATTCTTCGGCATCATAACCACCAAATGCATTTGCAGTTGTGTTGGTAACTCTGCAGTGGTTTCATGTATGTATGTATGTATTTATGTATGTATGTATGTAACTGTATGCATGTAACTGTATGTATGTCAGCATGTAGCTGCATGTATGTACCTGTATGTATGTAACTATATGTATGTAACCTGTATGTATGTATCTGTATGTCTGGATGGATGGATGGATGGATGGATGGATGGATGGATTGCATGCATGTAACAATGTGTGTATTGTTATTGAACAACTTGATACCACCTGCAAGAATCTTGGCAATCACAGGCCACCCCAACCCACGCAACCCTCCCATCCTTCTGCAGGGAATAAGCAAAGCCCCCGGGATGGCGAACGGAAGCGGCCACTGGAGAGGACGAGCCAGTAAAGGCTGGGGGTGCTGCAGGAGATGGAGATGCCACAGTTGGCATGCTGGTCGGGGCGGACCCCGAGTGATTGAGTGCATTGCCAGCAGCATCCAAGGCAGTGCCATCCACGAAGTAGCCGATGTCAGCTTGGTAGGCTGAGACTGGCAAGGGGCTGCCCGGTGCATGAGTATCAGCGGTCATGGTCTCAGGGTGATTGAGAGCATTGCCAGCAGCATTCATGGCAGTGCCATCCGGGAGGTATCCAACAGAGTTGAGGTAGTTTGCGCGGGGCAGCGGAGATCCAGGTGCGTGAGGATCTGCTGGGATTTGCTCAGGATGATTGATGGCATTGCCGGCCCTATTCATGGGCGTGCCATCGGGAAGGTAGCCAACGTCGTTGGTGTATTCATAATCTGCATAGTCCACACGCTTGAAGCTGGTGTAGTTCCTTGCCACACGATCAGCACGCCGGGATCGGAGACCCACAGCCGCCGCCAATGCCAACGCACCACAAGATGCGAGTCCTGCAACACTAAGCCCAGGCCCTTCCATCTGAGAGGTTTGGGTGGATGTAGTTGGGGTGCGGGACATGGAGCTCTGCAAGCTGCCGGGAGTCACGAAGGATACACCACCGCATAGCAGAACTGCAAGTGTGGGCATGGCAATCACCTTGCTGTGGGCCTGAGTCATGGTCACTGCCCGAGAAAGTCCAAACCACTGTCCAGCCTTTGTAAGCCTTAAGCCGACACACTTCGAAGATACAAAGAAAGTAATTCCATGGGAATCGATCTGCTTGTGACAACAGCCTTTCGGATCTCACCCTATCTGAATCTGAATCACAACATTGAGCACTTTGGGGGGCCAGTAACACCTTAGCATGGGCTGGTCATTTTGGTCCTTCAGGAGAAGCTGGCCATAGCCACGAATAAGACTCCAACTGCCTGGGCAGCTCTGGAGAGCAACCTCGATGGCCCAGATCTACCAACTCTTGTTGAATCTGACGGCATCCAAGTGAAGCTGCATAAGTTATAAGCGTTGAAGAAACAAACAAGTGTTCATCTACCCATGCCGCCTGTCCTCATTATGATGTGTGCTGATGTCCCAGCAAGCTGGCGAGGTGGACCAATAGGTCAGACCTACTGTATATGTCCCACACATAGACACCATTTTGACCTCAACGATGTGTCTGGCCTAGCTGCCTAGCTGAGGCAGCAGCCCTATAGACCTCTAAGGCATCCGTGACTCGGTCCTTTCTCACATACATCTGAGCCTTGCAACGAGTGCTCCAAGAAGTCTGTCGAAACTGCAAGAGATGTCCTTTTCTTTTGTCTTTCTTTCTACTAGCGATGCCCTCCAACCAAATGGCGATGGCCTCCAAACTAAGAGTAAACATTCGACAAGCAGCCAGCGCTTTTGCTGTGTCGATGTCTGGACCCTCAGGGTGATTGAAAGCCTGCGCCAGGTGAGATGGTGAAGTTGGATGACTTGTGAATATGCCCAAACAGCCTCACAGAATAGGATGTACACACAGCAAACCACGACGAGCCTGCTCAAAGTATGCCAGCGCTTCCTCCCGGCGGTCGATCACCAAACTTGCCTGCAAGGACATGTGGCACAATTTAGGGCACTGTTTCCATGACATTGTCAGAAGGACACCATATACGTTGAGGAAACAAGTGAAAACCAAAACAAAAAGGCATGCACCGCATGAGACTTCAATTCGAAGTGGTCAGGCACAACAGGAACGAGCATGAATTACACGTCATTACATATTGATATATATATATATACATATATATATATTCCATTCACCCCGCTGTCTGTGCAGCATTGGCAGTGCAAACTGTCCCGCGGAATCTCTTTGTTCTTTGTATATTCCACTAGTAATAGGAGTGTATCAGCCCAGCAAGTGAAGCAGCGTTAAACATATATATATATAATAGTGGAATCTACCGCAATATTGTGGACCCCAAAACTGTGTACTAGCCAGAGGCTCAACATTGCAACATCTGTCCGCTCACAGCCGTATGACAGCAGCCTCTGCAAGGTCATGCAACAGCTTCCGGGAGGCACCGCCACGTGCCTTTGCTCAATACCATTAACAGCAAAGAATGGACGTATGAAATACATTGAAAAACAAGGGGTTGCATGTCATAATGCAAGCCGCAAAGCAAACATTAATGCTGGAAATGCTGAGAGCTTTGGCACAAGCATAGGCCTCAGAAAGCCACCTGTGCCGCTCGACCTGTTCCGCAAAAGCATTTGCTGCAAAAAAGAATTCCGAAAGCCACTTGCATGCACTGGATGATTGCCACACATTGTAACTTTATGTTCTGTAACTTTAGTGGCGGTGTTGATGAAGCGTCCTTCTTCACGAATTTGATCTTGCTGTCTTTGCTATCAGGAGGATTGCCAGGTCCAAACTGACTGGTGAATGAACGAATCATGGCCTCTGGACGCAGCGACTGATGATTCGTCTACCTTTGACATGCACCTTACATCACCTTACTGAGGTGGCTTCTGCTAGGGCAAGCACAGGAGGTTGAGTGGAGTATGCCAGTTCCAAAAGAAGGGACATGCCTCAATCCAGGAAGCTGAGTTTAATCCACAGATCCACAGCTTTCAGCTCTTGAAGAGTTCTTACCAAGATCCAATGAGCTAAAGAACAGCTGGAACCTTTTGGCGCTTATGACCGCTCTGGAACTGTAAATCCCCCATCAGTCCATCTGCCCCAGCCCATCTTTTGTGGGAGGTGCGTTGCATTTCACCAAGGCCATAATCTCATCCTCCTGGCGTTGGGCCTCATCTGGGTAGAAGCGCTGCAAGATGCGGTGCTCCAGCTGCAAGTAGTGCTTTTGAGCTTCCAAATCCTCTTGAGTCGACAAAGCCGCCAGGTGGTAGAAGTTCAACATGCTTGGATGCAGCTCCAATCGCCCCACGGAGGAGATGCTCTCGATCAAGGCCTCCAACATCTGCTGAAAGGCTGGGAGCTCAGCAGAATCAGGAAGTCCCTCTTCCACGTCTTGCCACAAAGCCTGCACCACAAGATGGTGACGATGGCCCAACAAATTCTCTTCGTCGGTCTCTCCTTGGATCTTTCGCAAGGTCTCCGTGGCTGGGCTACCAGGTTCAGGCTGTAGCTGGGCCTCTCGCAAGGAGAACTCACCACAGTACATTCATCTTCCCCCTTCGTTACCAAGGTGCCAAAGAATAGTTTAAGAAACTTCTGGCTTAAAGAAAGCAACCATAAACTATTCAATCTGAATATGTATTAATGAAATTATCGCAGAGTGCTTTGCTGTCTACGGCTCGAATTGTGGCTTCATCATTCCACTGTCGTGCCTCCTTTTCAAAGCAGCGAGCGGCGTAGTCAGCCTCGGCCACTTTCTTACATGAGAGGCATTGGAGCTCCGAACTCCCGGGCTTCCGCGGGCAAAGATCCGGTTCTCCACAGTCAGGGCAATAGAAACTCCGCTCCACTTCGGGCAACTCCGTGCACCTAGCAATGACAGGAACATACAGGAACCTCTAGACGGGCAATGCAACCAAACCAGAACAATCAAACAATAACATAAAGGTGGTGCTTATCTGTATATCCTATAATAGTCCTATGCATAATATATACACATAACTATACAACACATAAATAATCATAAATATACAAATAAACATATACATATGCAAAATACATATGATATATATATATATATACACATGCAAATGGATTGTTTGGACGACTAACTATGATCCAGCCATCTTGCCTCAAACAACTGCAAGTGAAGCCCCAATTTTGAAAGGACTGCGCACGTGCCGAGACTGGACAATAGCCCAAGGGAAAATTCAAGTAGTCGATGGACAAGGCCTCACCCTTTTCAATGTCTCGTAGTGCTCGGTACGTCTGGGGCGCATGGTCTGAAGTGGCCCAGGTACCCAGGAAGCAATTTGGCAAGCACGAGTGTTCAAACATGCTTCCCGCAAACATCAATTGCATGCTGTTCCCGCCATGTCCGAAGCGATTGCTGCTGAGAATCTGAATAATGTGACTCAACTCTTCAAGAGACGTAACTTTCTGCAATTCGGGTTTCAAGGCACCCCACAGATCCTCCACACACTCCTTGTGGTCAGTGGTCGATTGCACTGGACTTCTGCAAAGTGCGCAAAACTTGCGCATGTTCAGGGCAGCTAGGTCCCAGCTGTCCTTTCCTTCCTTGTCCAGCACTTCGAGCTTGCAAAGAAGAACGGCGGCAACACAGTCCATCAAAGGGCTCCGCGGATGGAAACAATCCTCTTCAAAATCATCCTGCTGCTCCTCTTTGGCGTGGAGCTTTTCCAGAAAGGCGTCCGAGTAAACCTGGGTGACAAGCTACACTGGGCAAACATGAATCTGAATCTGCAAGCTGCAACCCATTCGCTGGGTCCTGTTATGTCCTGTTGTTTTAGATGTGCCACCTGTTTGGGGGAGCCGCTCAAAAATAGCAACATGCATGCAATCGTTCAAACTTGTCCAACAAAGTTGAAACATGACAATCAATGTCTCTCTCTCTCTATTAACTTGAAGTGCATCTGTATACAGTAACTGTATACATGTACAGTATATTCAACCATAAGCTCCACAATTCACCAAAGGAAAACCAAACTTTCATGCAAAACTGAGAAACCTTCTCACTCTTCTTGGCGTCAGTGTTTCCTTCGAAGAGGGGCAGCTCTGACAAGATCACATCGCCCGCTTTCAAAGCACAACTGGCCACCAAGTAGCGGCCCTTACACTGAGGACCCTCACCATGGGCATCCATCTCAAGCTTTAACTTGGAAGACTCCTTCTCGACCGTCTGGCACACCTCTTCGAAACTGAGCTCCTGGTGGTTAGGGAGGACCATCTCCAATAAAGCCCGACCACAGTCAAGCCGCATTCTGCCGAAGGGTTCAGAAAGGGCGGGTCAAGGTGTCACCACTGTGGCCGACAGGGGCTGCGAAGCGTGAATCTGCTGTATGAATGAGTGCAATGAAAAACAATAATCACCAACTTTCTCGGAATCCGAGAAAAAGCAAAGTATGATCTTGGCTAAAGGTGTCTCACATCTTAAAGCATCCTGCGACGTCATCTCAGAAGAGGGCAGCGTTGTGGATCTGCCTGCCGCAGACTTCGAAGAGTCTCCTGCTCGGTTTCATTCGGTTTCTGTGATCAAACAAAGGTACGTAAGCTCTCTCAAGCAGATCTTGGAGAGTGCCCACCCGGTTAGCCTCTCCAACACATTGCACACTACTCACGGTTTCGCTGTACCAAGGTCATTTTTCGATTGTGATCTTGAAGTCCTAGTTTTGGCTATTCATCAATGCTGCCCGGAGTTATTTGTTTGATTTTGTTGGGATGATGCGGGATGTGTTCCTTCAGCCCAATTTGGTGTCCTGCGCCTTGGCCCTTTCTTCCAACGAAGATTGTGCCTGAAAGCAAGTTGAAATTTTGCCAAATCTGGTTTGCTCCCCAGCCTTTGGAAAACAAAGTATGACAATGACAATGAAATCTTGACGTCCTATACCTATGGACACACCCTGCCTGGAAAAGCAGTTCCAGGGCCTCTGGGTCTCCAGGACGACAGTTCAAGGCCGCCTCGACCAGCAAACAGCTTTTGATTGGCTTGTGGAGTTTATGAGCCACATCATATCATGAACTTTGTCCTTCACGTACCGCTCCGACCCCTTGCACCTCAGCGTGCTTCGCAACCTGTGGCCACGAACGCTGATCGAGGAATCCTGCAAGATTGGCTTTGGCACTACTAACCAGCCTGTCAGTGACCAAACAATGCCACTGTCAAACAGGCTAGCAAACATGTTTCCCTGAAACATGGCGGTTGGAGAATTAGGTTTGGGGGTTGCAATGCTTGAGCTGTCGGGCGCTCATCACTCTTGATTCTCTACCAACACCCATTGAGACCAGTCGATCCGTCCTTGAGCTGCAAGGACACTCAAGGAATGGCCCAGGTAGACTTCCTCATCTAGAGCCAAAGCCTTGCGAATGACGGTTCACTCCGGATCTCCGGTTAAGAAATCAACATACAATCATATTATATCATATTCATAATATACAATCTTTTCCTGGCATGTCGGATGGTCACGGGTTGAGCCACAGCAACCACATGCTGCTGTTTGAACGGACGAATATCGGTGAACCTCGCCTCCTGCAAGGATCGGTAGGCTTCTCGCTTGCTGCCCAATGCCATCTTTGCCCGAGCCAAATAGATCCAGGCCTCCCAGTGGCCCACTAGGCACATGAATGCGGAACCAGTACATTATAGCACAAAAGAGAAAACGACAGAGAGGGAAAAAGGATGAAAGGTAAAACCGCTCGAAAGACCCGAAAGGGACCTGAATCTCTGTGTTCTTGTATTCTAGAGCATCCAATAGGATGGATTCCGCTAAACACCTTACAACGGCCTCCTTGTGGCCCTCTCCAGGGCACTCTGGTTCTTCATTGGTGCTTCGATTTTAAATCACTGGCCTATACAAATTGCGTGTCTCTCCACTGAGCCGGAATGTCATCCACTGTTCTCTCGGCTTGCACCCTAGAGTGGGCTGGCTGGGGCCTTATGCCTCACTCGGTCCCGCCAATGAGCTGCTGCCGTGGGGGAACATGCTCACCCGCGTGGTCACCGGCTGAAGATTTATAACTGTTTTGTTATGTTTTGTTTGCTCATTATGGTTCCGTCCTGTAGTGTCCAGACCTCAAGGAGGCCATGCTCTACACCGTCGCTTTCTGCAAACATTTTAGTGTTGCTTTCCCTTGGCCGCAAAGGTCTCCTTTTCCCGGCTCACCGAGGGGAGGCCCAAGAGAGGGATGCCTACGCAGGTACGCGAAGCAGCCCAAGAGAACAGGTGAAGGCGGTTTTCTTCACGCCCCCGTTGTTTGTATCCGACATTGTTCTGACCAGGAGACTCACTAGCCACTGGCTTGCAGCTGCACCTGGGCAGCTTGCTCGGCGCGTGGATTGTTTTGCGTGTTCTTATTGTTTTGGTAGTCTTGTCGTGGTGCAAGCTACAATTGCCGCAATTGTCACTCTGCGACAACGACCACGACGATGACGACGACTAAGGCCTCTTGCTGCTCTAGCAGAAAGAGTCTAAGGAAGCACATTGCACCCGGTAGCACAATAGTACAAATCCATAAACTACGCCTACGCAAAGGCAGAATGCAAACAGAACTTCCAGGTCCTCTCGAGAAAAGGGGTCGGCCTGCCTAGAAACTTCATTTGCCAAGGCCAAGGCTCAAGAAGTCTACAATGCATCCTACACACATGCCCAAAAAGCAATTGACAGCATCTTCAGCTCCTGCGCATCTTTGGGGAAGCGTGAGGCGTGCTCCGAGATTTGTGGCAGCACCTGCCAGAGTGGTACCCTTTGAATCCACCGACCTATGTCTTTAATTAGAAGCTCCGGCTCCAACCTAATAGCGATGGCATCCAACCTACTAAGCGAGAAATAAGCGAGGGAAGCACCCACTGTCCAAATGACTGCAAGGCTCTTCCTCAGAACCATATAAATGGAGGCTTAGGCCCCTAGGCTTCGGGTTTCGATCGGCCCCACCAGGGTCAAATGCATTGGGCCGGACCAAATGAATACCCTCAACATGGTTAAACAACTGGTCAAACATGCTGCAACTGGACCAACATGTCTACAAGTGTCATCAAATGAATCGCAGGCAGAAACTGTCTGACAATCCGGCTTCTCCCTTCAATGCAAAATCACTCCAAATCAAAGCAACATTATATGAAAACACCCACGCTTCCCAAGCGCCCCTCTTGGATTTCACCATCCACCTGCTCCCAGCCAGAAGGCCCAGAACGTTCTGCACGCAAACACAGGCCTAATTCATCATTTGTCGAAACAAGATGGCCATGACATTCCCACAGCACAACGTGCAATGAGATTCATGATCTCCAACTCGTGGCAAGCTTGGCAGAGTAACGCGCCGACCGACCAAAACATGCACTTGTCTTGCTGGTAGTTTGATTTTCGGTCTTTGTTTCTGTCACGTTGGCGCAGCCAGCCTGATTTGGTCAATTTAACGGTGAACATCTAGTTTTGCACCGGCCTCTTCCCTTATCGATCACTCCAACTCGAACCGGGTTGCACAAACAAACAATCTTAATTGGGAAACTACTAAGTTAGCTCCAAAAGCAGGCTGGCGAGCAGGAATCTTCTACGCGTTGGCAAGGGCTCTGCAAACTCTCTTGACAAAAGGGCACTTTCGTAGGCATGGAAGCAATGATGCTGCACAAACATATTTGGGAGGCAGCTATATCGCCACTATCTATCAATCACATCAACATCATTACAACCATCAAGCCTAGGCTTCAAACACTTTAAACAAGGTGCCACCTGTGGCTACCACTTGGCAGCGAGGTGAACTCTGCAAAGGTCAATAGGCTACATTTCGCAAAGCGCGGTGATTCCATCGTTGGGGATCAACCGCTGGCAGGCCGCGCTGGCCATGGGACTACTTGAAATGCATCGAGACGCGATATGACTTTGCTGCAGCGATGATCTACAGTATATGGGTAAAAATAGGTAAGAGGAACTGGTAAAAAAGAAAAATAATGGCATTCCTGTTCATAGTTCTTTAACCTGCCTTCTGGCTCTCTACCGAACATCAAGTCCCCCCAGTCTTTGGGCCGAGATCCGGAGAGTGCCATTTTCTCACTCGACGTCCTCATCACTGCCCACACTGCTCAGCGAATCACTGTCGGAATCACAGTCCGTGTCACGGAGAGCACCTTGGATTCTCATGACCCAAAGGAGCACAGCACTGGTGTGAAGCCATGTTTGAATAAGGCCCGCTCAGTGCCTCTTGCGTGACATCTATACTTTCTACAGTGCACCAGGAGTGCATCCTTCAAATATAGTAAGATAAAAGCAAGGTGCCCATTTCACGAAGCTTCGCAGCCTGCACCGAAGTCATGAAGCCGTGTTTCAACATGAGATCAACAAATTTGTCTAGATTTCCGAACTGTGCGACAAACAATCAGTGCCTCCCGTGCTCTTTGCTCCAGTGTCCTGAGTTGGAGTGGCAGGCGCCCTTGCCAAGACTGATAGCTTCTTCCCAAGAAGAATGGCAGTCATCACTAACCCGACAACAGCAAGAAGTCTAGTCTAGAAACTTCATGAAACAGCTTCTCGATGCCACCCCTGCCAGCACACGCAAGTCTTGCTCAGGCTAAGCTTCCACATGTTGTGGTAGGGTCCAGTGTAGTCCTCCTCGGTGGTCTTGATCTTTGGAACCACCTGCCGCATGCCACCGGTCCATCACGACCATTTTGATGCGATATAAATTTATGTGGCCCTCCGTTGCCTGAAGAGGCAGTCGCTCAGAAATGGTGATGTAGTGGAATGGGCGCCTGTTACAGTAAGCGGTCAGCAAGACAATGCAAGACATGTGGTTCATGCTTTCAAAGATTCGTCAGTACGCATACCCAACCTGTCTCGCTTGTTCCCTGTCAATGGTGCTGTCAGTGTCTCACCATAGTAAATCGCCTCGGGAAACAGCGCAGACAAACACCGCCTCTGCTCAGACTGTCCATCTTGAGAACCTTTCCAAAATGCTGCCGGGCCCAGGGACGTTCTTCAAAGCAGCGCTGGCGACCATACCTCCCAGGACACAAGATAACACACAACATCACAAAATGAGGGATTGAAGAGATGGATGCTACAGCTGCTACATCAAAAGCATGATGCCATGATATTGCAATATATGCCATCCCCCTGGCATTGCCCTGCCTGCTTGCTTGGCAACATTTTGAACCTCGATGGCCTCTTCTAGCCAAAGGTTGCAGAAGACAGCGCACTGGCTGCTGGCAAAGTTGTTGAAGAGAATCCTCCTTGACCCAAGGAAAAATAAACTACATCAACAAGTTTCTCATTTCAGGCAACATGATGAGCTCATTACAAGTCTTCGGGCAGGTGCACCTGACCTGTTCCTCTCAGGGAAAACCATAGGAGCGATGGCCTCCACCCAATAGTGGCGATTATCTCTTTCCACCCTGATGTTTTAACCAAGAGTCTGCCAAAGGAAATAGTAGGGATGGTACGCTTCACCGAAATCCTCAGTCGCTTCTCAAGGTTAAAAAAGGATATGACAGCTAAATTTGAGGGCGTTCGTTCCCGCAACGGCGTGCGAATCGAAGAATCGAGAACCGAGAGAATCGAGAGAACCAAGACGGAATCGGGAGAATCGAGAATCGAGCTTGTCAAGCCGGGTCTGCTAAATTTCATCAGGTATCCACAAATCAATCAACTCTTGGTCCAAGCAGCTGTCAAGAAGCGGGAGCTGCAGTCCGGGTGCATGCCTCAAATGAAAGTGCTCGGAACATGCTAAAGACCCAAGACTTGGACTCCTTCAGAAATGTTGAGGTGAATGAATGTGGAATCCAAAAGCTACAAATCAGGCGGCATGCGGAGCCGCATTCACAAACATACACCTGGGTGTTGTGGCCTTCGGCATACAAGTTATTCGATATTATCAAATCGATATGGTCGTTGAAAGGAGTACAATATATATATAGTTATATATATATATATAGTCATAGTTATATATTATATATATAAATATTCAATTGAGTCATTAAGTCATCTAGAAATGGAAGCCTTCGGAGATGTTTAAAAAAACACATAAAGTTCACAAATCTCTTGCCAACCTTTATATAGTTAAAATCTCTGTCGCCTTCTCAGGTATCTACGCATACCAAGTGGCCAACTGATGTTGAACATTTTGAAAAGGACCTGTAAGCATCGTTGTGCTAGAACTTTGAATAAGAATATGTAATAATCAGATTTCACCAAGCCGTGAATAAACATGCTTTTTGACAATTTGGAGATCTTGCATCACCCCCAAGAAAAAAGAAAAACCGTTGTACAACAAGATCGTTCATGATATACTGGCTAGCTGTGGGCTTTTGTTGCTCATGACATTAAGTTGTGAAGGGACACCAAAGATTATTCAGCCCCGTGCTGGACATTAAGATCAAACCAAACCCCATAACAAAAAACACTATATATATATATACAGAAATGCATGCTTTAGACAAGTTTGTTTAAAGCTTGCCCAGCCTTCTTCCAACCTTCCTCAGACCCAAGGCCCTCTCTGCAACATTCTATATACAATGACATTTCGAGCTAAGAAGCCCAAAGTCAGATGCGCTGGAGGCAAAGGAGACCTCCCATCCTGCAGTGACCAAAAGCATCCAAAGATGGAAGGGGGGGAAAAGGCATCAACCAGCACTCTTGATTGTGCTGAATTGAGGGGCGTGATGCTTGCTTCTCCCTTGGCTATGCGTGTCTGCAACAGCTCAAACTTGGAAGCCTGCACGGCATACGCAATCCAAATGTTGGGATCATAGCTGGGCTTTGCTTGACCGCCACTGAAAAAAGTCTTGCACATCCGTGACCTCAGTGACATCACGGACCGGCCTGCCAGCAATAAACTCATTATATAAGTCATCAATCATCAAACCCCAAATACCAAAGCAAGCCGCAAGGACCTGCCAAGCTGCAAAAATGCGGATGAGCCGAATCTCTGGGCGCCGGTTCAATACTTCACGGCGTAAGAAGTTGACCAGCACCGGCCGCTCTTCAAATTTCCCCGCGAAGGGCACGTTGATGTAAAGCACTCCTGCGCCGAAATGGGACAAGAACGCTTCTACATGCTGCCCCGTTCTAGCAAAGGCCTCCATCAACCTACTAGCGATGGCCTCCAACCTACTGCTTCCATCTCTGCTCTTGAGAAGCTCCTGTTATGAAGAACGCTATCGCACCCTACGTTCACCCATATTCACCCTACTCATCACCTTATACCATCCCAGGCGGGCCCAGCAGCCTTGTGAATCCGGCGCCAACTTAGCAAAAACACCTTCGGCGCCAATGCGTTCCAACACCGCGTTGTATGCATCTTGCTGTTCCTCCGAAGTGCCTCGGAATAGCGTGGTTCTATACTTACAGCATCTTATAGCACAAGCCGTGAAAATGAGCAAAGGGAAATACAGTATATAATCATTTTGTCAAAAGCCTCGTGATCTTCGTGTGGCGAGGTGCAAAACCCATGATCTGCACAGCTTCCCTTCCGCTCCGTGTTTGCTGGCTTCAGAATGGGCATAGCTGGCATCGCTTCTGCTTGTTCTGCACTCAAGGGCTGGGTCGCTTGAAAGTTGCAACGCTGCGCGGGGGTGAGGGCACTTCACAGTAGCTCCTAGAAGAATCGTGAGCACATGTGAGAAAAAACTCCTTACAAGTATGGTGGGTCCTTTGGGGACCTCCTTTGTCTCCCACCAACATTGAATGAAAACAAGGACGCCTACTGTGTCAGCGTGAGTACTACACTGACGCCCCCTGCGTTCAATTGACCGAGCCGAAGAAGCAAAGTCCTTAGAACGATGCGTCTAAGACAATCCCGGTGGCCGCACGACCCATCGGAGGCTTGAGGATGCTGATTGAGGCACAATATCAACCAAAACGTAGCAAAACATTCAGGAGCGAAGCCACCTCAATCGGAACATGTTGACAAACCACGAAAACCCCAGTGGATTTGCAGTCCAGAATGCATCATCTTCAGGTGAGCCTTGCCTCGCACCTCTTGATCCAGCATTTATCTTTCTCCGCCCTTCTAAGGTGTGTGTGTGTGTTGCTTACCAAGCGCATCCAAGGCTCGTTTGGAGCACCTGTACTTGCTCATGCTGCGCTTAGTCAGTAAATAGGTTGCTTTGTAACATTGGCCTTCTATACCGCGTCCAGCTGCCCCAGTACCGATGTCTTCATTATGAAGTCCTTTAAGGAAAGTATGAAATGTATATTGAAATGTCACGGTGCTCGTGCAATGCTCGTACACAGTACTCAGAATATCTCAACATCAGAATGACTTGACTTTGCACTTCCATCTGCCTGAGCTCGGTAAACTCGAACCCAGTTCGTTGACGTCAACCACCTGGTGAAGTCGGTGGAGCATTGCCTTGGAGAGATGGGCAGCACGGACGGCCCTGGCCGCTTAGGAAGCTGTGCTGATATCGTCAATCTCCAAACTCTACTGTAAACCTTCCGTCACTTTTCTGAAGAACTGCTCTCAGCATCTCCATGCATCCTTTCAACGAGAGTAAAGATCTAATTATGTAAACAAGTTTGAACATAATTATGAGTGAAAACTGCCTCCACTGGTCCACTGCCAGAGGAAGATCCTGTGACCTCCGCATTTGCAGAATGAGGGGCCACGCCAAACGGAACGACCTCTCCTCCCAGGAGTTCTCTTAACAGGCGAGCTGATAGCGCTGGTTGACGCATGATCTAGGAAGTTTTTGTTGCCTCAATTGCTCTGGACTTTGTCGTCATTGCTTATGTCGATCTCTATGCAGCAGCTAGTAGGGCTAGCGCGCTACTGCCGCAGCAGAAACACCAAGGCTTGGCAACGTCCAAAAACCCATACCCCCTTGGCACACGCATTCGCAGCCATACGGTATCCTACCATAGAATTTGCATTGCCGCCTCCTTTGTGAGGATGCCCAAAGCACGTGCTTGCTCCTCAAGTTCATCCCATGGACCAATCTCCTGCATTGTTTCTTGCACGGACTCACCGGCGGGTATTCTATCTCGTCCCGCCAAATCGTCTTGGTGGAGCCCTGCATCTTCGTGGCAGCGTCACAGCACCCAATGACAGTCTTGGCTGACGCGCATCTGCTCACAATGTGGTCCATGCCAGTTGCCATCCTTGCACGAGCAGCAGTATGCATGCCCGGCATGCCCCATGCTATCATTCATGCTGTGCTTCAGATTTTAACATTTTGGGCGCGCCGCACAACGTCGTGTTCGCATAAAGTCCCGTGGCCTGTGCGTTCCAAACAGCATCCGTGCCACGCGGTCGTGTGGAGATTTATGCACTTTGCTCGTCTGCACTTGCTCAACATAGCTTGACGGTTTTTAGAAAAAATATATGTCAACTGGAAGCCAACTATTAATCAAAATTTACTGAGACAAAACTGGCAAAACACTCCACAAATCGAAAAACCAATTCCCTCTCCCCCTGCCAAAATCATCTTCACAATGGACAAATTCTGCACCTTTGTCTGGGTCGCAGGCTAGTCACCCACCACCATCTAGCATGGCACATGATCCCAAGAAGCCGAAGCCTGTGCGCCTTTGCTATGTCTGCTGATGCCTGCCCACCTACTCATCCGACTCTACTCAAAGTCATCCCCGTATCCCTTGCTCCCGGAGGTAGGTGGCTCACGCCCGACAAATTATTTAGACGGGTCAAGGTCACCCAAACTGAAAAACTAAAACATCAAGCTGGTCTGAGTCGGCATATGATATATGCCACGCGGCTTGCTGAACCTCTTGCAGCCAAGAGCGGCTGGCAGAAATATGACTTCAAGTCTTGCCAATTGCCAAGCACTCTTCAACATATTAGTCGAGAAAGGTCGGATGATAAACAGCTATCAGCTATCACTTTGCAAGTACGAAGCCAGCGTGAAAATCACACACACAACTTAATGACGACGCTCCTTTCATCTCTTCACAAGGCTGGAAGCCTTTCTCGCTGGCGCTTTGGCCACAATACATTAACTGCCGGTGCACCACCCCAGCACCGTCCAGCTTGCTTCGTTCCAAGCTCCAACCCCTACCCCAGCAGTCCAAGGTTGTGCTGTCGACATTCGTCATTCTCTGGAAAAAGCCCTTATATAAGTTATATGCCTGGCCTTTCGAGCACCCTTGTCCCGCCCAGCTCGCTCGGTCACTTGCCTCACCTGTCGAGAATCACAAGAAGCACATGCTCATCATGCTCTAAGTCTATTGTTTCTATTCTATTGTAACAAGAGCAAGGTCAAGCAGCAGGCATGTTGATGCATGGGCTGTATGTTGAAATGAATCCGTTGAAAGCATCAAAGAATGACACAACCTCCCTACATTACAAGCGGACGCCCCACAATTCAGCATCTAAGGTCCACACTTCAAAGCGGGTGGGCGGGCATCTGAACAACTGATTCTCGCTTCGCCTCATCCAACTGGGCACATGCTTTGGAACGTAAATGGCATGAACAGCCTGAAGGCGCAAGAGTCGGCTGACGATGAGAATCATCAAAATTCACCTCAGAGCTTTCCTTGTTAATTACTGTAGTTTCTTGTTACTAGTAGCGATGGCCTCCAACCTACTTGCGATGGCCTCCACCTAATAGCGTCCTTGTTCTTGCAGGCATCGCATGAATGCATATGAATGCTATGCAATTGATGCACTGGGAACATCACAGATCGGTCACCCTTCCCAGTGGCCAGCTGGCTGATCTCTGCCAACAGTGCTTTGACCTTCCTCAGGTTATGATTCGGCGAAACAGTCAATGATTTCACCGACCACCTCAGCAAGGTGAGCCGAACATAGAATATTTAAAAACTTGCGGCCAAGGGGGG